TTATTGTAAAAATTAAAAACATTTAAAAGCTAAGAGAATAGTATCATCAGCTCCCATTTACTCAGCACCTGGCTTCAATAATCATCAATATTTTGCCAATCTAGTTTCAGTCATATCACACTATTTTTCCCTGATGAATATTTAAAACACCAAATATTGTATAATTTCACCTGTACGTCCAGTATGTACCTCGTTACTAACAGATACACCTAAAACATCCATTATCACTCTGAAAACTATTAATATTAATTCTCAATGTTATCTAATATCTAGTCCCTGCTTATTTTTTACTATGTAAAAATGTCCTTTTGTGGTTGTTTTGCTTGAATCAGGATGCAAGCAAGGCCCACATATTGCTTTTGGTTGGTAGGTCTCTTAGTATTTTTTCATGTAATTTATCGGTGGAACTAAATCTTTTAACTTGTTGAATATCTCAAATTCTGAATTTGGCTCTTTGCATCCTTGTGGTACCTTTTAACATACTCATCTATCTCCTGCATATATGGAGACACTTGTTTAAATTTTTTGTTTTGTTTATATGCAAGAATCTTTCATCAGTGGTATTATGTAGTTCCCACTGCGTTATAGCAGGAGGCCACGATGTCTGGTCTTTTAGCGATGATACAACACCGCAGTGAGCTCAGATGGTGCCGGCCTAATCCATTCATCATAGAGCTTCCTCATAGACTTAATGGTTTAAACAGTTATTTATGGTAATTGCCTAGATCCATTCTTTCATTAGAGGTTTCAAAATAGTGACTTCATAATGCTATGTCTTCTTCTTTTGTTCACTAAATTTCTACTATAGACACAAATTTTCTCTAAATAAATAGGTGGTTATTTTGAAATAGTTTGTACAGGAAAGTAGTTATTAAAGGTTTGATTTTTCTCTTTATTTGTAAGTCTTCAGAATACTGATTTGGTATCCTAGCAATCTTCAAAGGTGAGCAATTAGTTTGTCTTTTCTGAGTACCATTATGAATGAGTGGATTTTAGCATATTTGTAGTCTTTATCATGATAACTTTGCTTTGAAATGTACTTATGATATTAATTTAGATACTGTGGTTTTTTTTTTTTTACCCTTGCATATATCTTTTTAAAATTGTGGCAAAATATATATAACATAAAATTTACTCACTCAGATATCCTGGGAATCCACCTTTCTTAGCCCCAAACCTAACACCCTCAACTACTCCATTAACCAGCTATTCTTATTCTCAGACTCAGGCGATATAGCATCTCAGTATATAAAGTCATGAATCCTTTTCCTCTTGAGCAAGGGCACCTTGATAGATTTAGGTCAGTGGTCCTTTGGCCAGGCTGCATATCCATGTGAAGGACTTGGACCAAAAGCCTCAGGGTCAGAGAGCTTTTCTCAACCGTGGGATGTTGGGGGGGTGGGGGAGAGTTGCCAAGTGAGAAATGGGTGGCATCACTTAGATACACTTCTCCTCTTCCTTTTCCAGTTTCCATATCTCTAATATGCCCAGAGTAGGGGGAGATATAAAATTCTATAGCCATATAAAGCTACCTAAGGAAAACAATTAAGATGAACTTTCCTGAGATATCTCATTCTTCTGTCATGATTCAGTCATGTAGATGAGTCTATATGGCCATTCTGGCTGTGTGGAAGTTCATGGCTGTCTAGGAATCCAAAAAGTCTTTTTTTGGATTTTTTTTTTTTGAAAGAAGACAATTTCCAATGAGTTTCTTGCATTAGGCAGAGTAAAATAAGGACAGTTTGCTTTGGCAGACTGTATTTTCTAAAGAAGGCCTCAGTGATAGTACTCATCCTGCATACTTTTATTCAGTATGGCCATTGTATGTAACCCATTCCTCCTGTCCATTTCTCTTGGAATTTGGTGGGCTTGTAACCACAGGAGCCAGTAAAGTATGGCAGAAGAGATGCTGCAACTAAGTCATAAATGGTGGTACAGCTTCTGCCTTGTTGGCTGCGACACTTAGAGCCCCGAACTGCCAATGAAGAAGTCTGGCCACCTTGTCACAGGCATCTGGGCTTCTGAGGATGTTCAGACCACGTGGAGAGACCACATACAGGTGATATGGTAGAAACACCCACTAAGGTCCCAGCTGACAGTGAGCGTCAAATGAAAACATATTAGCACAGTCTTTTTAAAAAACTTCGTGCACATAATTGAATATCCATATGCAAGAAACAAGTGACCATAACTCATACCTTATGCCCCGTACAAAAATTAGCTCCTCAAAATTAAATGTGAAAATTTTAACTATAAAACTTCTAGAAGAATACATAGGAGAAAATCTTTGTGATCTTAGATGCCGTTTCTTAGACAAGGCCCCAAAAATTCAATTTGTGGAAAAAAATTATATAGTGGGCAGCATCAAAACTAAGAATTCATTAAAACATTAGAATCAGGGGCGCCTGGGTGGCTCAGTCGGTTAAGCATCTGCCTTCGGCTCAGGTCATGATCCCGGGGTCCTGGGATCGAGCCCCG